TGAAACGGGGAACCTGAAAGGAGAGTGGATTGCAAAATCGATGATGCGTCTTGGGTTTACACTGGTCCTCCTGCTCCTCCTCTACCTCCTCCTCCTCTGCCACCTCCTCCTACTCCGTCTCCTCCTCTACCGTCGCCTCCTCCTCCTCCTCCTTCTCCTCCTCATCCCCCTCCTCCGCCTCCTCTGCCTCCCCTGTTGCCTCCTCTACCTCCTCCTTCTCCTCCTCCTCCTCATCCCTATCCTCCTCCTCCTCCTCCTCCTCCTCCTCCTCCTTCTCCTCCTCCTCCTCCTCCTCATCCGCCTCCTGTTCCTCCTCCTCCTCCTCCTCCTTCTCCTCCTCCCCCATTCCTTTTCCAAATGAAGAGCTGCTCCCTGTCGCACCCCGTGGCGAGTCAGAAGGGCGGGCCAGGCGCTTCGCGTCAGACTTCCGTACCGCTCATGATCCTGATGTTTACAGTTTAGCCACCTTTTTCACACACATGGAAGGCGGGTCGTTTTCAAAATGTTGTTCTCGCCGTAGCGCCGCGCACTTTCGTCTTAAAACGTTGCAAGAGCTTCACGGATTGAGAGTGGGCCGTTGTAGAAATGTAGCTCTCGCCTCAGCGGCACGATCATTCGTATCACACGTTCGAAAGAGCTTCACGGATTGAGGGCGGGTTGTTTTCAAAATGTGGCTCCGCTTCAGCGCCGCGCACACTCGTCTTACAAATTTGCAAAATCGTCATGGGTTGATGGCGGGTCGTGTTCAAAACGTGGTTCTGGCCTCAGCGCCGCGCACATTCGTCTGAAAAATTCGCACGAGCTTCACGGGTTGAGGGCGGGTCATTTTCAAAATATGGCTCTCGTCTTATCGCCGCGCACATTCGTCTCACAGATGCGCAAGAGCTTCACGGATTGAGGGCGGGTCGGTTTCAAAATGTGGCTCTCGACTCAGCGCCGCGCACATTCGCTTTGCACATTTGCGAAACTGTCACGGGCCCTCATGGTGAACGTACCAGAAGCTGTGTTTCGAAACGGTTCAGCACCGTCTGGGCGCAACAGTTATGTTGGTTCGTGGTGTTGAAGTCCTGGGAACAGCATCGTGGTACGATTCGGGATCGTCAAGACTCCACACTCAAGTTGATTCGTGGCGCTGAAGTCCCGAGAATGGTGTTTTAGCACGCTTCAGGGTCTTCACACGGTTGTCTCCCAACGGCTCAATTCCCTCAGTTGAAGTGAACCCTTGTAGGAGCCTATGAAAAGAGAGCGCTTGGAGGGAGAGTTTATTCAAATCACGTTGATGCGCCCTGGGTTTACACTGGTCCTCCTCCTCCTCCTCCTCCTCCTCCTCATCCTCCTCCTCCCCCCCTCCTCCTCCTCCTCTTCCTCTTCCTCCTCCTCCTCCTCCTCCTCCTCCTCCTCCTCCTCCTCCTCCTCCTCCTCCTCCTCCGTCCCTGTTCAATTCTAAGTGACTCCTCCCTGTCGCACCCCGAGACGTTTCGGTAGGGCGGGCCTGGCGTTTCGCCTGAGACTTCCTCACCATGTACAACCCTGCTTGGCATGTGCAGCAGTTTCAAAGATGAAGGGCGGGCAGTTTCAAAATGTGGCTCTATCCATAGCGCGGAGGGCGGGCGGTTTGCAAAACGTGGCTCTCGCCTTGGCGCCGCGCACATTCGTTTCAAAGCTTGCAAGAGCTTCACGGATTCAGGGCGGCTCATTTTCAAGATGTGGCTCTCGCGCGCATCCCTCGTAAGAGTTCACACCAGTTTCAATGGTTCTTATGGTTGACCTCCCAGAAATGCCTTTGGCACGATGTAGGACTGCCAGGGCGCAACAATCACGTTGATTCGCGGTGTTGATGTTCCAGGAGTGGCGTTCTGGCACGATCCAGGATCGTCAGGAAGCCACAGTAACGTTGATTCGCGGCACTGACGTCCTAGGAATGGTGCTTTGGCACGGTTCAGGTTTTCCAGACGGTCGTTTTCCAGCGGGGCACTCCCCTCAGTGAAGGACGCCCTTGCAGGGACCTGCGACGAGGGATCTTGGAGAGAGGCTTTCTTGCAGCATCGCTGGTGAGTCTTGGGCGTACACTCCTCCTCCGCCTCCTCCTCCTCCTCCTCCTCCTCCTCCTCCTCCTCCTCCCCTCCTCCTCCTCCTCCTCCTCCTCCTCCTCCTACTCCACCTCCTCCTCCTCTCCTCCTACTCCTCCTCCTCTCCTCCTCCTCCTCTCCTCCTCTCTCCTCCTCCCTCCTCCTCCTCCTCCTCCTCCCCCTCCTCCTCCTCGGAGAGCGGGCCCGCCTGGAGGTAGCGCCCCCCCGGCGACTTCACGTGCTCGGACAGCCGGGGCGCCAGGCGGGGAGGGGGCGCCTCCCACGGGCCCCGCACGGTGGTGTGGCCCGCGGGCAGCTGGTGGGACACGAGGTCCTGTGCACGCGGAGGAGGGGCTCTCGACCCGAGGGGGAGGAGGAGGAGGAGGAGGAGGAGGAGGAGGAGGAGGAGGAGGAGGAGGAGGAGGAGGAGGAGGAGGAGGAGGAGGAGGACCCCCTCCCCCTCCAATGTGTGGTGGTGGTGGTGGAAAGCAGGCCCATCAATGCGGCCACTGCCATACCCAAATCCCATTGCGCTGCAAAGCAATACGACGGACCGCGCTTTGCAGCGTTCCGCCTCTGGGGGCCCTCGCCGGGACCTCGGGCCGTGAGAGCACGGCTCGGGCTGACAAGCCCGACTCCAGGGGTCGGCGCTGTGAGAAAAAACGAAACGCTGGGTACGTGTGCCGCTGAAGCCAGCCAGGGCTGACGAGAATCCTGGCCCAGAGGGGGCAGGATGGAGACAGGAAATCTACTCGATGCTTCGGCGCGACACGGGCTTTACTGTCTACTCAGGCACCCATAGGACTAGCCGAGGGAGCGGTGCTGAGCCCTATGACACATGAAGGGGAGGGCTAGCGAGCAAGGAGAGGGGAGAAAAGGAAGGTCCTGCAGCCTCTCTCTCGCGGGAGGGCGTCAGCCTCCTCGGCGAAAGGCAGCATAGCTTCTACTGCCCAGGCGATTTTGTTGATTAGACCGTTCAGGTGAAACGCGCTGTTGACTATCGACGCACGCTGCCTGGAGCTACCAACTCGCAATCAGAGCTAGGAGGAGGAGGAGGAGGGAGGAGGAGGAGGGAGGAGGGAGGAGGAGGAGGAGGAGGGGGTCTGACCATGCGCTGGGAGGCCTTGCGCCAGCGGCGACTGGTGGCGGGCCCCCCTGGCGGACGGGCCGACAAGGAGAGGCGCACCGCTCGGGGGGCAGCGCGCGGCAGGCCCGCGGCGCACGAGGGCCTCGCGCGGGCGTCCCCATGCCGCCGCCGACTCCAGCATTTTGGACGCCCGGAATGGGTACGGAAGGAATGGGCACCATGCCCAACAACAAATGTTGTCCCAAACGAACAGCGGCCGCTGTTGGGCAGGCGGCCTTCTGTCTCGAATGGGCACAGGCCGCGGCGGCGCGGACAGCGAGTCGTGTTCAAGATGAACAGGATCCGCTGTTGGGCATTGTACCGACTCTTTCCGTGCCCATGTCGTTCGTGCAGAAGCATGCGCGCTTGCTCTGCTTCTCTTTGCCGGACAGCAGGCTGAGAGGAGGGACTGTGGGGCGGGGACTCATCCGCATCCAACGCCTGGGGACCGACGTCCTGGTGCCCCAGCGGGCGGTGGATGTGGATACACTTCGGCCCCACAGGGGCCCGAATATGTCCACGTCCACCGCCTGGAGAGGTCCCCGAAAACTGACCTCCGGGCGATGGCCATGTAGAAAGTTCCGCCTTTGAGGGGTGGCCTGGGCCACTCGCGCGAAGAGCTGCCAGAGGGGGCGCCGGGGCCACGTGACAGGCGGAGGAAGGCACACTGCGCGCTCTCCCTGGACCGCGCACGATCGCGCAGGGTGGACGTGCGTGGTGGCACCGCCTGCGACCAACAAGAAAAGGGAGGCGACCGTCGGGCCATTGGAGGTACGACCTGCACCGTAGTGACTCCGAACCTGTCCTCGGCCCTCTCCTGCGACTCCTCATTCACGGCAGCCTCATTGGAGCTGTACGGGGCCCCACCTGCGTTTGGACCCTGAACACGAATCGCAAGAACCTCACGGGAAGGCGGTCCAGACACATCAGCGCGAAGAGGTGACAGCCATTCCCGAAAGACTGATGTGCCGTCGCTGTGGAGATGATCTCGGCCCACAGAAGAGAAGGTCGGAAGCTTCTCGAGGATCACATCCACGAGCGCAAGCACGCACTGCAGCCAGCGGCATACACAGCGCAAGCCGTCGACGCACCGGTAGAGGTGAGGACTATCCTGAGCTTGGTCTTGCCTGCATCACGATTGGGGCTCAGGGAGATGTGCACGTATCGCCAAGCAGCTGACTGTCTCAGCACCCGATCGAGTTGAGCAGCGACCACCACGGCGAGCGCGGGGGAAGGAGCAGAACTGAACTTGGGGAACCGAAAGGTACCGATACTGCTCCTCTCCCGGGGTGCGTTCTGACTAGGATTTCGAGGCGCATCCAGCGGTGGCGACGAGAGCCTCCGAGGAGGCCCAAGAAGGGGAAAACGGGTGAAGAGTAGCGATTTGGATACCTTCTGCTCCTCTGAGAACCGAGCGTCAAGTGAAGCACGACAGCCGCTCCTCAAGCAAATGCAAGCAAAGGAGAGGCGGCGGTGGACAGTAATGACAGCCAATGAGGCAGGAGGAGGAGGAGGAGGAGGCGGAGGAGGGGCAGGAGGGACAGGAGGTGGAGGAGGGGGAGAAGCAGGAGGAGGAGGAGGAGCGAGGACGAGGAGGAGGAGGAGGAGGACGAGGGAGGAGGAGGAGGAGGAGGAGGAGGAGGAGGAGGAGGAGGAGGAGGACGAAAGTCAGAGCCTGTACTCGAGCTGACCAGGCCACGGGGGGAGGCGTGCGCACGCCTCTTCTGCACGCGCGCGAGCTGATCCACGAGCGGGAGAGGGGAGGGGGGAGAGATACCTTCCAGGAGGGACGAGAAGGAGGAGGAGGAGGAGGAGGAGGAGGAGGAGCAGGAGGAGGAGGAGGCGGAGGGAGGAGGAGGAGGAGGAGGAGGAGGAGGCGGGGGGAGGAGGAGGAGGAGAGGAGGAGGAGGAGGAGGAGGAGGAGGAGGAGGAGGAGGAGGAGAAGGAGGAGGAGGAGGAGGAGGAGGAGGAGGAGGAGGAGGAGGGGTAGCTTCGAGGATCGAGGCTTCCAGAAGCTGCCGGACGTCCGCGGCCCTCGCCCTGGGGCTTCTCCTGGCGAGGAGGAGAGGATCGCCGGAGCAGCAGGAAAGGCCATGGTGGCTCCGCCGCGGCACCTGGGCGGGCGGCCCTGTAAGCAGCCAGGGGCCATCTTAGACTTAGATCGGGTGAATGGAAGACCTCTCGCTCCCCCAGGAATCTCCGAAAAACTCAAACCGAATCTTGCCGAGAGAGAAAATCTGAAACCAGATCTCAAACCAGATCTTGCCGCGAGAGAATCTCCAATCTAAGACTTAGAGAAGGATCGGGGGGACTCCACGGGTGCTCCTCCGAGGCCTGCGATCGCAGGAGCCGCCCGCCTCCCCAAGAGGGCCGAGGAGGGCAGAGGGGCGGGGGCGGGGGGGAGGAGGAGCAGCAGCGGCAGGCAGAGGGGGGGAGGGAGGGTGTGGACGGCGGGAGCGACGAGGGGAGAAGGCGGAGGAGGGAGGAGGGGGAAGCAGCAGGAGAGAGAGGTGCGGCCGCGAGTGCGGAAGTGATGAGTGTGCAGCCACGCTGGCGTTAGCAGGGCGCGATGCCTCCCGCTCTCGGCTGCGAGAGAAAGCGCAATCCGAAAGCAACGAGCACGTCGCGACGCCAGGTAGGATGTGCGCCCGTTCTGAGGGGAGAGCGCCGAGGAGAGAAGTCGAAAAGGGAAAGGCAATGAAATGGATACTTACTGGCAAGCTAGTTGCACGCTAGAAGCTTGCAGTAAACATGAAACCAGCAAGCTAGAGAGAGACATGATGAAGGCTGGCGACAGGCAATAGAAATCAAGATCTAAACACGATGAATACACGGTCAGCGTGACAGCCTGATGGCTGGCTGGCAATCTGAACTCCGCAAGTTGCTGAAGCTACACCGCAAAGCAGGCGCAAAGCAAGCCGAAAGCAGAGGACGGCCATGCCGGCGGCGAGCTACAAGGAAGCCCAGTGCAGCAAAACGGCGATGCAGATGCATGCGGAACGCGAGAGAAAGGCACGCGAACGACAGTCGAAGAGCAGGGGGACCAGGCGGGACGGCACCCCATAAGACGCGGGGACCGGGCCGGGCGGCCCCCCGCCAGAAGCAGTGGGGTGGGGGCAGGACTCGGGAGCCAAACGGGCCCCTGTTCACAGAGGGGAGTGTCAAGGCTCCTCCGCCTCCTCCTCCTCCTCCTCCTCCTCCTCCTCCTCCTCCTCCTCCTCCTCCTCCTCCTCCTCCTCCTCCTCCTCCTCTCAAGTGCGGCGCAGGCCCCGCAGCAATTTCCGTAATGTTTTTTTCGCTCGGCGCCCTAGCCCCGTCTCCGCCTCATCGTGGCACTTGGGTGGCATCGGGGCGACCTCATGTTGTGTGACGTTCAACCGGTGGCGAAGGGAGACGAAAAGTCAGGCTACGCATTTTTGTATTTTCAATTTGGCCGTGCTTCTTCTATTCATTGATGGGGAGGGCTGGCGGTACTGGTGCTTTTGGGCGTACAAAGTGCAGTCAGTTCATCATCCTATCTTTGGAGTTATGGAGGAGCTTTGCATAATGCTACGGTCATGTGTTTTCCTTTCTCTCTCATCGCCGTCGTGATGTTTATCGACATGTGGGCGTTGGCCACGGAATCCTCACCATCCTGTGCTTCTTCGCCTCGTCGCGGCTGTATTCGGCTGAGCCTGGCCAGCGCAAGGCAGACGCTTTCTTTTGGTGGCTTTTCTGTATTGGCTGAGCCTGACCCGCGCAAGGCAGACGCAGTTTTTGGTGGGATGGAGTTGTATGGCATATTAGTGGAAAGCATTCCGAGAAACCTGAGCATTTTCTTCAGCGGGACTGGGGCTTGCAATAACGGTGAAGGGCTTTCTTGGTACGTGTGCATCCTCCTGTTCATTTCCGTGTATTTCAGCTCCGTGTCGGGCATCGTCGTCTGAGCCGTGGGAGGGGAGGAACCATCTTCAAGACTTCGTCTTATGTTCATGCTCATGCTCCTCCTCCTCCTCCTTCTCCTGGCCTGCAAGTGCGCGCTGCTTCCCGCTGGGCCACGTATGGTGATAATGATGCAAAACACGCGCCTAAGAGAACCACACCAGCGGCAACGACAGGAGTGCGAGAAGGCAGTGAAATGTGCCGTGGTGTCAGAGCCTGCGGTGACGGTGACCACTGCGGAGACGATCGCAGGGGGGGAACTACAACCACCACGTGGCCGATTCTGGGAACCGTGGACCCAAAAACATCGGCGTCTCGCTTCCACTTCCGGCACCATTCTCGCCGGCTTTTCCGCCGGCGGACCCAGGTCCATCGCATGTCCGCCGGCGTCCGCTGACGTTCCGCCGCCTCCCACCGGGAAAAGACGTCAAGCCGATCGATCCCTCGAGAGGTAGCTGGTGCGGCCCACGGGGAACAATCCGCCACCGTGCCCCTGTGGCACGAAGTGGAGTGCCCCCAGGTCCTCTGCCTGATCCTTTGAGCCTCAGTCCTCAAGCCTAGGGATTGTGTCAGTGGCCCAGACCCAAAACTACCAAATCCCCTGGGGTGCACCGCGTCTTGTCGCGTGACCTGTTCGAGCCCTAGAGGGCCCCAAGATGGGCCAAGAGAGACCCACGAGGCCCCCGAGACGGTCCAAGAGGGCCCCGAATCGCCGCACGATCGGTCCAAGCCGCCCAAGAAGGCCCCAAGACGGCCCAAAAGGCCTGTGAGGCGCCCCAAGAGGGCCCCACGAGACTTGCCAAGAGGGCCTCGAGAAGCCCAAATCATTGAATTGTCCTTCGGTGTTTCAATGTTTGGGGGGTCCTCTTCTTTTCGAGCTTACAAAGCTCCCAGACGGCCCAAAAGGCGCCCAGGACCGCCCCAAGATGACCCAAGAGGCCCCCAACAGGGCCTCCAGACGGCCCAAGAGAGCTCCAAGACGGCCCCAGAGACGCCCAGGACGGCCCAAAAGGGCCCAACCAACGACAGTCTCAAGAAGGGCCCAAGAGGGGGAACACGAACGGAAAATCCAAGCCTTCCGCCCTAAGAGGCCCCCGGGACACCCAACGAGGCGCCAAGCGGCCCCCAAGAGGCCCTACGAGACCCACAACGGCTCCCAAAAGCCTCCAAACGGCCCCCGAGAGGCCCGAGAGGTCCCCCGCGACACCCCAACGAGCATCCTGGAGGCCCATGTCCCACAACCCACCAGGTGGCGATATGGGCCGAAGGCCATTCGATAGATGGGAGAAGACGTGTGGCGAAGAGGCAACTGTGACGCGTCAGGAGAAGATCGGACACGCAAGGCGGCGACAGGAAACTCAACGAAGGCTGGCTCCAGCGTGTGGAGGTTGAAATAATACGTCCACTGCCTCGCCCGCGGCTGAGCAAAAACACTCTGGCATCTGCAAAAGCATTACCACTCTGCCTGCCCCCAGAAGATCCATTTGTTGCACCCTTGCTCCGAGTCCTCGTCTCTACAATTTCTCAATATGAATACTACTCTCCCTCTTCCCCTGATGACGGCCTGGGAATGTCCGCCCCCCCCCCCGCGTACTGTTTTTTATACACAGGTTTCCCCGGAGTTGGGTTTTCGCCTGCATTTTTTTCAAAATGCTGCTCTCGCTGAGGCGCCGGCCTCATTTTCGGGCCCCGCTCGTTCCGAATCGTGCTCCCGCTGCAGCGCTGGCCGCATTTCTGTGCTTCCGCTCGTTCCGAATCGTGCTCCCGCTGCAGCGCTGGCCTCATTTCCGCGCCTCCGCTCGTTTCGACTCGTGCTCCCGCTGCAGCGCTGGCGTCATTTCCCGTGCCATGCTACGGCATGCAATGCAATGCTAGGTTGATACCACGCTTTGCGGTGCTCTTCTACGCCATGCCACGCCGTGCTCTACAATGCATCGCGTACCCTTTCGGGATCATTGCCCTGCTCGACATCCGACTGTGCGAGTAGAGAGGGGATCTGCGCCATGGTAAGGGATGGGAGGGAGGGGTGGGACGTCAGATATGACGCGAGCGCACCTAGCTTGCCACTAGCCCCTCTCCTTCCCCCCGCATCCGCCCCAACGTCTTCCTGCATCCGCGACCCTCAAACACACACACACACACAGACAGACAGACACACACACAATATATATATATATATATACACACACGCACGTGTTGCGTCGACGGCTAGGCAGGGTGACTGCGCTGGCGAGAGAAGTGTGATGTGTGTTGCACGGAAAGCGAATTAGGCCACCATGCACCATGCAAGAGGAGGGGAAGAAGGCACCCGGCGACGGCGGGGGGGAGAGGGAGAAGCCGGCCCCCCCCACACACACACACACACACACACACACACACACACACACACACACACACACACACACACACACACACACACAGTCAATGATCAAGCGGCCAAGATAAACGGTACTATCATAGAAGAAGAAACGACGACACACGTAGCCATAAACTGTCGGGCTCCACGCGGATTTCTTGGATCGCCGGTGGGCCGCCATCCGTGGCGCGCGGACCGCGCCAGGGGCGGCGCTAGAGGAGCCGCTGAGGGGGCACAGCGCAGATCAAATCAATCCTCGCGGAATTCGGCAATTTTGATGCCGAGTTTCCTGATTCGGCATGAGAGAAGCTGGATGGTGATGCTCTTCCTGCCATTCCCCCCTTTCCCTCCTCCCTCCCGCGGGCTTCCGACGCCGCCGTTTCCTCGCGCGCATGTCGAAATCGTGCGAACGCCCTTGCGCGATTGCTGAGGGAGGGGGCGCGCTCCCTGTCAAATAAGACCACGCGGGCCACCCGCGCGCGTGAGACGAACGCGCATACAGAACTCGTCTCAAAACCTTCATGAGCGACACATTGGCATCATCCTCAGTTTCATCACCATCATCGTCAGCATCACCACCAGCGTCATCGCAATCACCATCCTTATGATCACCATCATCTGGATCACCATCATCGGCGTGACCAACACCAGTGCAATAGTTGGCCTTGTCATCGACATCGCCTACATCGCCACCATCATCGCTGCCATCAGCATCGCCTCCGCCGTTGGCGGCGTCAGCATGACACCGCGCCCGCCTGAGTCACCGACCCACGTAGAAGTGCCCGCGGGCCAGCGCGGCCTGTGAGACGCGCTGGGAAGTCCCCAACGGTCACCGCCACTGCGGACGCGTCGGCTGTGCCAAAGTAGCTGGCCGCTCTGCGCGCGAGCTTGCGCGCGCTAGCGCGGCCGCAAAGATAGATGCGCCAGCCATCGCCACATGCGGGCCACGCGCGCGGGTCGGCCGCACGGGCATGTCGAAATCCTTCCAAAACTGTTTTATAACCGACGCGTGGATACCATCATCGTCATCGGCGCGGTCAGACTCGGCGCTGTCTTTGGCCATGCCCTCGTCAATGTCATCATCGCCACAAGCATCGCTGCTATCATCATCGTCTCCGGTCGTCGTCGTCGCCGTCGTCGTCGTCGCCGCCGCCGTCGCCATCGTCGTCGTCATCGTCGTCGTCGTCGTCGGCGGCGTTGGCATCGCCCAATTCGGGGCCTGCCGCCCTCGTAGGCCTGCCGCTCGACCCAGGCGCTGCGGGCGACCTCGGGCAGGCGCGACGCGGGATCGCCGCGGAGGGGCAGCTCCCGCAGCAAGGCGCCCGTCCTGAGGGCGGCGGACGACGACGACGACGACGACGACGACGACGCCGACGACGACGACGACGACGGGACGACGGCGACGGCGACGACGACGACTGTTAAGGCGACGGCGACGGCGACGGCGACGGCGACGACCATGGGGACGACGGCGCGGCGACGACGGCGGCGGCGGCGGCGGCGGCAAGGGCGGCGGCGACGGCGACGTCGACGGCGACGGCGACGGCGGGCGGCGGCGGCGGCGGCGGCGGCGACGACAACGTCTACGGCGACGGCGACGGCGACGGCGACGGCGACGGCGACGGCAACGGGGACGGCGACGGCGACGGCGACAGCGACGGCGACGGCAACGGCGACGACGACGACGGCGACGGATGGCGACGGCGACAGGGACGGCGACGGCGTCGGCGACGACAACGATGACGACGACGACGACGACAGCAACGACGACGACGGCGACGGCGACGTCGACGGCAAGGCGACGGCGACGACGCGACGTCGACGAACGACGGCCGACAACAGGACGGCGACGGCGACGGCGACGGCGACGGCGACGGTGACAGCGACTGACGACGACGACGACGACGACGACGACGACGGCGACGACGACGACGACGACGACGGCGCCGGCGACGGCGATGGCGACTAAGACCACGACGACGACGACGACGACACGGCGACGACGCGCGACGAGGACGACGACGACGACGCCGCGCGCCCACCGACGACGACGACGACGACAACGCTGACGATGACGACGACGACGACGACGACGATGACGGGACGACCGGAGACGATGATGATAGCAGCGACCGGAGACGACGATGACTGTCAAGGCGACGGCGACGGCGACGGCGCTGGTGACGGCGACGGCGACGGCGGCGGCGGCGGTTGCGACGGCGACGGCGACGGCGACGGCGCCGGCGGCGGCGACGGCGACGGCGACGGCGACGGCGACGACCACGGCGAAGGCGAAGGCGACGGCGACGGCGACGGTGACGGCGACGGCGACAGCGACGGCAACGACGACGACGACGACGACGACGACGACGACAGCAACGACGACGATGGCGACGGCGACGTCGACGGCGACGGCGACGGCGACGACGACGACGGCGGCGGCGGCGGCGGCGGCAAGGGCGGCGGCGACGGCGACGTCGACGGCAACGGCGACGACAACAGGACGGCGACGGCGACGGCGACGGCGACGGCGACGGCGACGGTGACAGCGACGGCGACGACGACAACGACGACGACGGCGACGGCGACAGCGATGGTGACGGCGACAGCGATGACGGCGACGATGTCGACGGCGACGGCGAAGACGACGGGGCGACGGCGACGGCGACAACGACGACGACGGCGGCGACGGCGGCAACAACCGGGCGACGGCGACGGCGACGGCGGCGACGACGACAACAACGACGACGACGACAAAGACGATGGCGACGACAACGGGGACGGCAACGGCGACGGAGCTGGCGACGGCGGCGGACGCGGCGGCGGCGGCGACAACGACGACGACGGCGGCGGCAACGGCGACGGCGACGGCGACGGCAACGGCGACGGCGACGGCGACGGCGACGGCGCTGTCGACGACGACGGCGACGACGACGACGACGACGACGACGACAACGGGGACGGCGAAGGGGCGGCGCCGGCGCTGGCGCCGGCGCCGGCGACGGCGACGGCGACGGCGACGGCGACGGCGACGGCGACGGCGACGGCGACAGCGGCGGCGGCGGCGACAGCGACGACGACGACGACGACGCGTTAGACTGGCGTTCGCCGAGTGGAGGATCGCCACTCGAAGGATACAGTGTTTCGGCTTTTTCTGGGCCCGACAGGTAGGCCTCGCCTACGGCTAGATGCGCCTTGAAATTATAAGCAGAACGCCCCCGTGAAGAGGTCCAGGGGATGAGTTTTGCGACTGACGACGACGACGACGACGACGACGACGACGACGACGACGACGACGACAAGGACGACGACGACAACGACGACGATGACAATGGCGGCGGCGGCAGCGGCGGCTGCGGCCGACGACGACGGCGACGACGACGACGACGGCGATGACGACGACGACCACGACGACGACGGCGACGACGACGACGACGACGACGACGACGACGACGACGGCGACGACGACGACGACGACGACGACGACGACGGCGACGGCGACGGCGAGGAAGGTCGCGACGCCTGGATGTGAGGGTCCCATCGCCGCTCCCCTCCCAGTCGGGCGGCAGTGAGCGTCCTGACGTGGACGTAATGCGGAATGACGCTCTGCGGCTCGCGCACGTACTTGGCGAGGAGTGGGGCGCTCCTCCTTCTCCTCCTCCTTCTCCTCCTCCTTCTCCTCATCCTGCTCTTCCTCCTCCTCCTCCTCCTCCCTCCTCCTCTTCCTCCTCCTCCTCCTCCTCTTCCTCCTCCTCCTCTTCCTCCTCCTCTTCTTCCTCCTCCTTCTCCTTCTTCTCCGCCTCATCCTCCTCCTCTTCCTCCTCCTCCTCTTCCTCCTCCTCCATGCCTTGTCTCACCCCGAGGCCAGATTTTAGGACGGGCCAGGCGTTTCGCCTGAGACTTCCTCACCACTTATGACTCTGAAGCTTAAATATCGGCAACAGTGTCACAGATGGAGGGCGGGTGGTTTTCAAAAAGTGGCTCTCGCCTTAGCGCGGCGCACATTCGTTTTCGAGATTTGCAAGAGCTTCACGGATTGAGGGCGAGTGGACTTCAAAATGTGGTTCTCTCCTCAGCGCCGCGCACATTCGTTAAACATTCGCAAGGGCTTCACGGATTGAGGGCGGCTCCTTTTCAAAATGTGGCTCTCGCCTGAGCGCCGCGCACATTCGTTTAAAAAATACAGGAGTTTCACTGACTCCCATCATCAACGTACCAGAAATGGTGTTGTAGAAGGATTCAAGATTTTACGGGCGCAACAATCATGTTGATTCTCTGTGTTGGAGTCCCAGGGATGGCGTTCTGGCACGATTCCGGATCGTCAAGACGCAACAGTCAGGTTGATCCGTGGCGTTGGAATCCCGAGAACCATGTTTCGGCATGCTTCAGGATCTTCAAACGGGTGCTTTCCAACGAGGCAGTTCTATAAATGGAAATGAACCGTTGTAGGGCCCAGGAAGAGGGAGCTTGGAGGGTGGGTTTATTCCAACATCGTTGATGACTCTTGGGTTTACAGTCGTCCTCCTTCTCCTTACTCCCTCTTCTCCTCCGCCTCCTCCTCCTCCTCCGCCTCCTCCTCCTCCTCCGCCTCCTCCTCCTCCTCCCCCTCCTCCTCCTCATCCCCCTCCTCCTCCCCCTCCTCCTCCTTCTCCTCCTCCTTCACCCCTGGCCCTTGCCAAAAATTCATCCCTGTCGCACACCCAGACGAGTGGGTAGGGCGGGCCTCCTGCTCTGCTTCCTCCTGCTGGAGGTGTGCCTCCGCCTGGAGCTGGGCCGCCGCTTGGCGCTGGGCCTCCGCTTCGGCCGCCCGGGGCGTCGAGCCTCCGCCCGGCGCTGGGCCTCTGCATCGGCCGCCTGGCCCTCTGCCTCGGCCGCCCGGCGCTGGACCTCTGGCTGGCGCTTGGCCTCCGCTCGGCGCCGCTGGCGGGCCTCTGCGCGGCGCCCCGCCTGCTGGCGGCGGTCCTCCGCGCGGGCTGCGGTCTCGGCCTTTCTCCTCCAGGAACGAGGCTTGGGAGCCCCCAGACCAGGTGGTGAGACACCGGGTGGTGACCTGGAACCACCAAAAAGCCACCGCCGGGTTTTGGAGCACGGGGTCGCCGCCGGGTTTTCTGACTCCTGGACCCTTCAGCGTTCGGAACATCCTCGAAAAAACACACGATTCCCCCAACTGCGTGGTGACACCAAATCGCCCGAAACTCACAGCCCAGTGTTGTCACCACCACGTTTGGGGACTACCAAGATGCCCGGAGGAGCTGCCCTTGTCGGCCCAGGGAGCGTGGCATCAATCGGGGAGCTCCAATCGCCTCTGTCGGTCAGAGACTCCTCGGATGACTCTCGGGGTCTCTTGGAGGCCTCTTGGGCCCGTCTGCGGGGCTTCCTCGCGGCTCGGGGGCCTCTTGGGGCCCAGGGGCGGATGTCGCTGGCGCTCCCTCGGCATTGGGCTGGCACTTCTGGGGGCCGGTCTCGCCTGGGGCCGGTCCCGCGGAGCACTGGCCGTCGCCCTCTGGCCAGCGGACGCCCAGGAACCCATAGTCCGGAAGAGATGCACCCATTGAAGCGGCTTGGAACGTATCCGTGCGACCGCGTATCCGCAGCACCGCGCCCCAGAATCCTGGCCGCGAGTGCGCGGAGTGCCCAATCACCAACCTGCCACATGGGCAGACCGTGACGGGGTAAAACTCGCGCGCAAGGGGCGCCTTCCGAGAAAAACAAAGATCATCTCGCGCACGACGACGAGCTGAACTTTCGCCCCCCCCCCCCCCCGTCAGCGCCACCCCCATGTAGATCTGAGGGAGTACCGTCGCCGCTCGTGGGGCCAGTTGAGGCTTCGACGCCTGGGCCTGGCCCTTGCCCTGCTGGCCCCTGGCCTGGCCTGCCAGGGAGGGCAACATGCGCTCCCAGCCCGGAGTGTGAACGCCTCTGCCGCCGGGTCGAGGACGAGTGCGTTCTGCTTGCGGGTCGTCTCCGTTGATGTCGAGTGCAGGCCAAGCTTCGAGAGGAAGTGGGCGGCCGTGGCTTCGTTCACGCGACGGCAGCTGATGCCGAGGCGCTCCCTTGCCTGAGAGGTGCACTCCACCCGCGCGCTTGACGTGCCGGGCCGCCACAGCGAGGCCGTTGAAGTCGGCGCGTGCCAAGGAGTAGAGCGCAGCATGGGCCAGGCCATGAGGCTCGGAGACAAAGCGGACACCAGAGCGCCCTCGCCGCAGTCCATGGGGGGAGGTGAGCAGAGGGGCGGTGTGATTCATGCACGTGAGAGGTCCAACTGGAACTGCCGCTGTTTGAGCTCAACACTCCACAGCCAACCACAGTCCAAGCAGCGGCGGCTGGAACCACTGCAGGCTACACCCAAAGGGGCGCAGACAACTGGGCAGAGCGGCGACTGCGCCAACTCTCCACAGGCCTGAACAAACAGCAGGCTTTATTCGCCAACGATGAGGGTGCAACCACCTCCAGGCGATCCTCGGGCCAAAAAAATGGTTGCAGTCCCCTCCCCCTGCCCCTGCCCCTGCTCCGAACCCTCCTCCTGCTCCTCCTCCCCCCTCTTGCCCCAGACATTCGACGTCCTGATTGCTTCAATACGGGGTCCCTGGAAGTCCCGCCTCTTTCCCTGGGGCCTGTTTTTCGTCCTGAGTCGTTTTTTGATGGTCCCGAGGCCCGGCGAGGGCCCCCCGAGGCCGAAACCGGCCAAGAACCGCCCGCCCTGATTTTTTGTTGGTTGCGACGCGATGATCATGTCTGGGCCTCCTTCCCCTCCCCTTCCCGATGCGCCTCCGCCTCCCCCCCCCCCGGCCGCGATAGGCGGCACCGGCCGCACGCGCCCCGCGCGGTCTCTGGCGGATCGCGCCGCCCAGCGGCCCACCGAGCCGCGCCCAGGGCCACCGCGGCCGCGGGCGCGCCCCGATGCGTGCGCCCTGCGCGAGGCGGCGAGGCGCCGAGGCGCCCGGTGGGCTGCACCCGGGAGCCCGGCCGCGATCGGAGGTGGCGAGGGAGGTGGGGGGAGGAGGAGGAGGAGGAGGAGGAGGAGGAGGAGGAGGAGGAGGAGGAGGAGGAGGAGGAGGAGGAGGAGGAGGAGGAGGAGGGAGGGAGGAGGAGGAGGAGGAGGAGGAGGAGGAGGAGGGAGGAGGAGGAGGAGGGGCGGGAAGGGGGGGGGGGCGAGGGAGTGATCTGAGGAGGAGGGCGGAGGAGGAGGAGGAGGAGGAGGAGGAGGAGGAAGAGCGAGAACGGCAGGGGGAAGAGGTGCCAAGGAGGAGGAGGAGGAGGAGGGAGGAGGAGAGGAGGAGGAGGAGGATGGGGGAGGAGTGATGAGGAAAAGAAAATGAAGGGTAAAGCAAAAAAGAAAAAATATAAATCCCACCAGCCGTTTGGGCGACAGGTGGTCTAACAAGATGCCTCTCCCCTCTTCCACAACCACTTCTTCCCCTTCGGGAAGGGGCTTATCACTGTTTCTTATTAATAAACACCCCCTCCCCCAGGCGACTGGGGGCCAACCCAGGTCCATGACAACACCCCCCACAATCCCTTGTAAAAAAACAATACAAAACACACTCTGCCTCCAAATTCGGAACATGCGCAGCCAACCCGATGCGCCCCCCCCCACCATCTCTGTCAAAAAACAATACAGAGTACACTTGGCGGAGGCGGCGGCGGCTGCGGCGGCGGCGGCGGCGGCGGCGGCGGCTGCGGCGGCTGCGGCGGTGGCGGCGGCGGTGGCGGCGGCGGTGGCGGCGGCGGCGGTGGCGGTAGCGGCAGCGGCTGCGGCGGCGGCGGCGGCAGCGGCGGCGGCGGCGGCGGCGGCGGAAGCGGCGGCGGCGGCAGCGGATTGGCCCCCAGTAGCCACCCATCCAAAGACGACTGCTGAATATGCTGAGGCTCGGGCCAGACTCGGGTGCTACGTATGTGTTGGGAGGGCGGGTGGGGGTGAGCGAGACGGCTTGTGGGCGGGGGGGGTCTTGATCACTGTTCCCTATTAGTAAACACCCCCTCCTCCAGGCGACTGGGGGCCAACCCGAGTCCATGCCGACCCCGCCCCCCCACACCATCCCTGGTAAAAAATTATCCCGGCAAAACAACCTAACAGCGATGTGTAGGAGCATATCTGGAAGCATTCCCCTTAAGATTCAGATGAGAATCCAGTTGTAGAATTCTGCTGTTCTCGCAGTCGTAGTCGCATTCGCGATGACAGTCGCAGTGGCAACGGCAGTCGCAGTCACAGCCTCAACCTCAGCCTGCCTCAGCCTCAGCCTCAGCCTGCCTCAGCCTCAGCCTGCCTCAGCCTCAGCCTCAGCCTGCTTCAGCCTCAGCCTCAGTCTGCCTTCAGCCTCGGCCTAAGCCTCAGCCTGCCTCAGCCTCAGCCTGCATCAGCCTCAGCCTCAGCCTCAGCCTGCCTCAGCATCAGCCTGCCTCAGCCTCAGCCTCAGCCTGCCTCAGCCTCAGCCTCATCCTGCTTCAGCCTCAGCCTCAGTCTGCCTTCAGCCTCGGCCTCAGCCTCAGCCTGCCTCAGCCTCAGCCTGCATCAGCCTCAGCCTCAGCCTCAGCCTGCCTCAGCATTCAAAATGGTGGCCGGGAATGGAGTTCTGGGAACTCGAAGAACACGAAGTGGCCTACAGTTGGCTCCGGGCATTCCA